AACTTAACTCGTTCGTAAGTAGAAGAGTCCCTGAAAGAAGTGTATTTCTAACTACATGACTTACTGAAAGAACCAAAAAGTACGGATTCCTGCAGTCATTAAAGCTTCAAATCAAGATTGTAGAATATGTTGTTTGTTTGACGTTCACGTGACCCCCTTCCTCCAGCCAATGGGTGCGTTGTCTTGTATATATATTTTTAACAATCGATTTTTGAATCATATGACGACAATTGATCGAATCGTCAAGTGGGATGGGATTGGGTGAATATTGAGAATTGAATACTTCACTCGCACCCCGGCCGTCAGTCGCCTCCTCGTAACTACTACTACTACCGTGGTGGCTGTTCAAGTGTTGTTTGTAAATGTGGAGGAGGGCAAACACCGGAGGGACCCGGATCAACACAAATGAACGCGACCACCCCGTGGAGAGAGAGAGAGATCGAGCGGGGCGCCCTTCACGACAAAGGGGGGGGGGGGGGTGGAGGAGAGGGGGGGATCTGCCGCGGAATTGTTGTAAACGTACAAGCGGTCGAGGCTGGTGGCTCAGTTTGTTGTTGGTGGTGGGGCGATGCCTGGCGCCACGGTGCTGGTGATTTGGGTGGGGGGGGGGGGTTTGGGGGCGCGGAAAGAGGATAACATCTTATCCATGAACGCCGATGTCGAAAAATAACAACAACAACAACAATAATTCAAACATTCCCGATGTATCCAGGAAATCCACTTTGAGTCCAATTACTATTTTATTCAGGAAGGTTCTGCGAGGTGGTAGTGCTGGCCACCCACCCCCTCGGGTGACGTGCCTGCATTCATATAGGTGCTCGCGAACGGCACTTTTTTCCCACCCCAAGTGTCTATTAAAGGCTTTACGGGGGATATCTTTGTCTTTGTACGTGCAGTGAACCCAGTATGAAACCCCGTGTGTTCAGGGGCTCGGGCCGCTATAGTTTGCCCCCGCCCGCCCGCCCCCCACCGTTCTCTGCTGCGCGTACACAATTCACATCTTGCGAACGTTCAAATCACATCAATGCGGGGTGCATTCTTTGCGCCGACGCGCTCGATATTTCATGGAAATGGCATTTGCGAATTTATTTAAAGCAGGAGCCGGTGACGCGTGAGTTGTCTTCCAAAACACGCGCACGTGACCGCACCGCGAACACGCGCACGCACGCGCACACACGCGCACAGGCGTACGCTACCCGCAAACACAGATGCATCCCACAGACAGACGCAGTTACACAAAGACGAAAGATTACTCCCCCCCAACACCACCACCATCGAATCGGCTTAACAGACTTGTGGGGCAAGTGCTGTTAGCGAGCACCTGTGGAGGCCGGCACAGCACGCGAGTTGAGTGCGTGGCCAGAACCACGCCCGGTCGTCTTTGTCTCTCTAGCGGCGATGTTTACACATCGCACCAGGTACTCATTTACGAGCGAGTCGACTTCGGGGGGGGGTGGGGTGGTGGGAGCGGAGGCCCAGAACCGGTTTAAATATTCGCCACTCTTATTCGTCGTGAGCGGGATTCCAACTGGGGTCGCCGGGTTCGTAGCGCAGTGGGCTAACCACTACGCTACCCCCCCCCACTTCCAAACTTAAACCACTGCGCACACACACACGCGCGCACGCACGCACACACACGCACACGCACGCACATGCACGCGCGCACACGCGCACACACACACACGCGCGCACACACACATGCAGACACGCGCACACACACGCGCACACGCGCACGCACACACACGCACACACACGCGCACACGCGCACACACGCACACACGCTCACACACACACACGCGCACACACACTCGCACACGCGCACACGCGCACACACACACGCACACACACGCGCACACGCACGCACACGCGCACACACGCACGCAAATTCACGCGAAAACTCTCACGCGTGCACGCGCGAGCGCGCACAGAAACACGTGCAGCCTCCGGGGATTGCGACTACCCAGCCCCCACCTACAAGCCAAAGCCCCCCCGCCCTTAGCCCCCCCCCCCCACCTAGCCCCTCCCTACCCCTCAACCCTCAACCCCCAGCGGGCCTCGGCTTTTGATGCGCGGCCCCGAGGGCTAATTGTGAGTGATTGCCCAGAGCGCAGCGCGTGCGCCCGCGCCTTTTATTTGAACCGAATGTGAACGCAGCCGCTTTCCCAGCGCATGCACAACCAGTGTGTGTCTGTGGGAGTCTGTGTGCGTGTGTCTGGGTCATGTAGCCCGCATGCCCAGCCACCGCATGCCTAGACAGCTTTTGTTCGGTCGGATCGAGGTGGCTAAACGGGCGCGGCACGGGCTAGAGAAGAGATGGAGTGACGTGGTACAGGAGGACGTGGAGCTGAGTGGACTTGCCGATGACTGGTACCAGCGGTGTCAAGATCGGCCTCTGTGGAGGAGGCTCGTGAAGGACGCTACTTGGCAGTTGGAGGGAGTCGCCCTCCGACAACAACGGAGGGCGGAGGAGCGACGCTCACAACAACTAGCGAAGCGCCGGGTGGCTAAAGCACAGCAAGTTGGCACAGTAGGGGGCACTGGTGGTGCATCAGCCAGTCATCTCGGTCATCTCAGTCAGTCGACCCGTGGCACTTGCTGGGTCTGCCCCGTGACCTCCTGCCAGCGGGCGTTCGACACTTCACGTGGCCTCAAGGTGCACCTAGCCTGGCACAAGCGTCGTGGTGACGTCACCGCCACTTAGTGGCGAATGGCGGTTGTTGTTGTATGTTGTTGTGTGAGTCTGCGTTGGGGCAGCGCAGCCCTCCTTAGTATAAATACATGTTAATTTTGATTCATATGTTTTTTTCTTTCTGACTTTATGTGAACGAAAAGACGCAAATTCGCCCATTTTTTCATTGAAAATAGGTAAATTTCTAAATATCACTGTCCTGGTCACAAAAGCAAAGTTTGTGGGGAATAATAGCAATTTTCTATACTTTTGAGGCATAAGCAATTACGAAACAACACTTACTACACAGGAGCAAAAATTGTGTTACATAGTGTTATTATTAAGTCTGGTGGCGAGCGCTGTTCTTTAAAAAGATATTATTTGGTGATGCTGCGTCGGCAGTGTTGCACGACCACAAATCCCACTCTGTCTCTCTGGCCTATGTTTCAGTGTCAGTTTAAGTTATTTGGTATAGCCCTGTGAGCCATTCGGCTTTTGAATCGGGTGCAACCGCAACAAACAAAAAACAAAAACATGAACAAGAAAACATCTTAAAGTGACTATGTGACTATGCGCAAACAGAAAAATCCAGGAAAAAACTGCAAAATCTTCCAGAAAAAAAGCACAGTACACCAACGCTGTGCAAAAATCCCAGTGGGATGCAAGTCAAACAACAACATCAACCACAAGACAACTTAGATTAAAGCCATAATTCTAACTCCGTACTACAAAAAACAAACATGGCCAAACCAAAAAAACTTTTCGAAATCACCAAAATAAAGCCATAAGCAATGTAACAGTGATCATAGGAAGTTTCACAATAAACGACATAAACAACATGTTCCACCAAACCATGTAGCCATAGCTGGCTGCATGAGTCACTCCACAACAGCAGGACCATTGCCCGAAACGTCGTCTATGATATATATTAATGTT